CTGAGTGAGGTATCTCAGTCACAAAGGGACAAATGCTATATGGTGCCACTGTTGTAGAATGAGGCTGGCATTGGGGTGGGGGTAAGACTGAGCAACTGAGTTTTTTAGTTAAGCAGTAAGAGGTGTGCAGGAAAATGGTAAAATGATAGACGATGGCAAGGTCTAGGTCTCCCGGGCTACAATTGTAGGAGTCCAGCTGGCAGCTGGCTACATGGTCTGATATGGAAGATCCAGGGTTGGTTATTATTACCAGTACTCTGGGATATGAGAGTGATGGAATTTCCCAAGGGGGGAAATATATGGAATACAACAATAAGAAGATAATAGAAGAATTTTTTTAAAGTCCAATACTTTTTAAAAGCATCTATTTTTTCATCTGCAAAAATAAAGAAAAAAATAAGTACTTGCCTTCTTCAGAACCCCCCACTACCCCCTCCCAAAAGGAGCTTCTTTTTCAACTGAAGTAAATTTTCCTAATGTCATCTCAAGAAAATGAGGGGTGATAAACCTTCTTTTATTGTTATTTTACCTATTCACATTAGATAATATGTCTGTGACAGAAAATAGGCTAATTGAATGGCACATGTGTTTAATCATAAATAAAAATAGCGTTAACAATTATTCCAAGTTACAGCTTGGTCATTCTTATCACTTTAGCAGCTACTATAAATTCTCTTTAAACACAAACACTGTTCCCTTTGAACAGAAGCTTCCCATGCTTACAATGCTCCTAGAACATACCATTTTTCTAACCCTGTTTATATTATCTCCTCACCCTTCACCCTGGGGTTTAGCAGCTGTTTGAAGAATCTATGCAAAAAAGCTTCTCTCTTCTGAAAACAAAGAGAAACTTCTCAGTGTTAACATGTGGCAAAAAGAGAGAAAAAAGCCCCTGTTTGGTCTGCCCTCTCCGGCTGCTGCTACCTTGCAGTTAGTTTATGACACACAGACAGAGGGAGGTCTGAGGAAGTGAACAGGCAGGCAGAGAGCAATTCCATTCCCGTGGAAACCGGAGTCCCACGGTGCAGCCTGCAGCCTTTCATTCTCCATTCTTGTGTGTGACTCTGAGAGGAGCTAGTGAACCCAGCTGCATCTGGAGGACGTCACCCAGTGGAGTGGCTGGCAGAGGAGACCCACTCGGACCGCTCAGGGCTGGTACTGGCTCCACGCTTACAAGCAGTTTTGGAAGTCAGCAAAACAGAAATCAAATTACCAGCATATCACACTGGTGGAAACTCAGGCAGAAAGGACTCTACCTCGGCTTAACTGCTTTAAGAGATGCAGCAAGTCACACAACAGCAAAGTGTGTCTGGTGTATGGGCCCTGAAGACAAATGTAAGTTCTTCTCATGCTGCTCTATCTGATTGCTGTGTAATTTGCTTTCCAGCTTGAAGTCATGCCTGGCCAAGATGTAATCATTTCCGTGAAAATTTCTAATGTGGAAAGTTGTCTGCTAATCTTTGCTTAAGGCTTTTATTTTCCTTTTCTCTAATCAATATAATACAAGCTGAAATTCTTGACAGCAGCTGTGACAGTTCAGCTTAACACAGACTGAGAATCATAACCCAAAGCACATCCAATTACTATGGGATTAACGCTGGATTTAATTTTTTTTATTGACTCTCTTAATCTAAAAATGCATATGACCTCTCCGTTTGGGATTGCATGTTATGTCAATACTGCCGCATAGCCAAAAGAATGAGATATAGCTACAAGAGGTTCTTGGCAGTTAACAAAACTTTTCTTTCTCGGCCAGGACCACATTTTTTCTCCCCGAATGCTCAAAACTCTGCAGCTTCTTTGTTAAAAGTTCGTTCTGCCTTTTCCACCTTGCTTCTTGAGAGGAAACAGAACCAACAGTGGGCTTTGCTAAAAGTGAGAAGGAAGAAAATGTGAAGAGCCATTTCAGGTCTTTAACCATTCTTGTAATAATTGGAGAAAAAGCTGGCCGGAGAAACCCAGTTTCAGTGTAACAAAATGTGGGGACACAAGGATGGATGGTGATCAGAGGTTATAATGTGTTCATTTTCTACACTCCATCTGCAAAAAGCTCCAACTTAAGATATGGATATTCTTTGTGAGGAAAACGCTTCATTGAGCTCTGCCCTGAACTCCTTAAGTCAATTAAGTGATGACATAAAGCTCTACAATAGTGATTTGAACTCGAGAGAACCGAACATTTCGGATGTGTTTAACTGGACCGTAGACTCTGAAAATGGAACAAACCTCTCCTGTGAAGGCTGCCTCTCACCATCATGTCTCTCCCTTCATCTCCAGGAAAAAAACTGGTCTGCTTTGCTGACAACTGTTGTGATTATTCTAACCATTGCTGGAAATATACTTGTCATCATGGCAGTGTCCCTAGAGAAAAAGCTGCAGAATGCCACCAACTACTTCCTGATGTCACTTGCCATAGCTGATATGCTCCTGGGCTTCCTTGTGATGCCCGTATCCACGCTAACCATCTTGTATGGTGAGTGGTGTTAGTTTCCCAGCTGTATCCACATGGGTAGCAACAGCATGTGCATGCTATTTGCAGACCAGCCAGGGCTCAGGGGGGAAACTGCAATTAGAAGGCTTTGATTCTAGGCAAAGGTCCTCTGTATTATGCTACTTACTGAGGTTTTACTCTTACAATGGAATTTCTTGTGTAAAATGCAGACAGTATACTCTCAGTGGTACTTGGAGAGTTTTGCACCTTAAAACATGTATATTCGCTGCAGAAAAGTTAGCAAGTGTCCCAATATATTCAAAGCAGTAACTTGACCAGTGTTTTGGAATCCCCTGATTGTCTCTCCTTTATAACCCCAGACAAATACCCCAGGCTTCAGAACAGAGCCGTTTTACATTTGTCACAGTTTTCAACACTTCTAATGGAGTGGTAAAACCTTCCAGTTTCCTTGGAACATCATCCATGCAACCGAATTTAATGTTAAAATATGCAGCTTCCATTAGGATAAATTAATTACTGCCGTTTTAATTGTTCCCTGCCCAGAGAGGCTAATTTGGAAATGTGCCTTTGAATTATACCCTCAACTTTTAAAAAATGCATTTGCATACACTCATCCCATCTGGCTCAGAGGAAGATGGAAAACAAATGGGAAGAGATTAATCTTGCTTTCTTCTCAACAGAGTTTAAAACAGTCAAACCTCTCAGCAAGTCAGCAAACACTGGGACGGCTTCAGCGGGGAGCAGGATTATGATATTCTTTTCAAATTATGCGTAATACAGCCAGATTCTCCTTTTAAAGAGAGAGAAAATATCGAGACTGCTGACACAGGAATAATCAGCGGTCACTCTGAGGCAGGCTGTATGAGCACTCTCTCAGAGGGAATTGTCTGGCCAAGTCTTAGATGAGGCTAAAACGCACCAATCTAGCACTGCAAAGTGTGAAGGGGAAAGGAGGTGAGCAACAGAGAGCAGCCACGTATTTGCACAGGGTCAATAAAGCTCATTAGAAGGTCAGCCCTCGCTTGACTGCTCAAAGCCACCCCCAGGATGATTTCATTAAACCGCTGGTTACTTCCCAGACATTTCAAACTGGTTCTGGCTTCCCAGAACCCTGCTCCCTTAGGCGGTACATTTCAGAGGGTGGAAAGTAAAACCCAGGACGGAGGTTGGGGTGACCCCTGAGCAGTGTGAGTCTGCAGGTGTGGACCGACTCCTGCCAGTGAGGCAGCAGGAACCCGCCCACTGCCTTTGCTTGGAATGCAACGGCGCCGCCTGGTGGCCGCAGCGTTCCACGAGCTGCTGGTTCCCGCCCAGGATTCCACCCCCCTCCCGGGGGTTTCTCTGCCCCTTCCCCATGCTAGGTACATGCATCTATGAGAGGGAAAACTTTAAAGACCGCATTTTTCTCCCTAAAAATGTATAGCCACAAAGCTGAACAAACTCATCACAAGCAAACGTGCTCTTTCTCTACCAAAACGTATCTGCATATTTAGAAGTGTAAAGAGGACATAAAACCTAACAGTGCCTCTCACTGATTATGTGGAGATAGTTTGAACAGAGTTCTTCCTGTATCGATTAATAGGCTCAGAAGTCACATGAAAGGTCAACAGAATCACAACTGACCACACAGAAGTAGGTTTGGGGTTTGATTTATCCCTGACCTACTGAACCAGAACCTGGGCATGGTAGTAAAGAAGTCCTTCGCGGAATTGTGATGCCTTCTAAGGGAACCACTGCCCTCAAACAAAGTCATGTGTGTGCTTTTTTCCCCCCAAAATGTTTATTTTGTTCCCCCAGACACCTAACATGTGAGTTTAACTCTGAAAAATCATTAAGTACTTCTTTGTTTTTAATTTTTATGACTAACTATATAGTCCTGGTTGAAGTTCTTAATTACTCATTTATTCACTTATTTATTATTGAAAAGGGGGAGAGTCAGCAAAAGAGAGGAAGACCCTCCACCAGGTGGATTGACACCGTGACTACTGCAATGGGCTCTAGTGTGTCAGGAAGTGTGAGGATGGCACCTGGGAGAACAGGTTTGTGATCTGTTGTCCATAGGGTCACTATGAGTCACACTCAACTCAGACACACCTAACAACAACGTTTATTCATGCCAATACCATTTCTTGAGGGGTTACTGTGTGCCTTCCCTGTGTAAACCTGAGCAGTTGAAATAATGATTAAGAGATGGAGGCAAGGATGGTGAAGCTTCGTCTCACACACTTTGGGCATGTTGTTAGGAAAGGCTGTCCCTTGGTAAAGGACATCAAGGTTGGAAAGGTAGAGGGATCAGGAAAAGGGAGGAAGACCCTCCATGAGACAGATTGACACAGTGACTGCAGCTCTAGGCTGGAGTGTGTCGGAGATGATGAGGATGGCACAGGATAGAACAGGTTCCTGATCTGTTCCTAAGGTTGCTATGAGTCACACGCGACCTATGCTATAGGCTATGATGGCACCTAACAACAAGAGGAAGAGATGGAGAAATACACATCAGTAAATTTGACACGTCAGTAGAGGAGCCCAAAACGCATCCCAACTTCTGACTTAAGAAACTGAAAGGAAAAACAACCAAGAGAATAAAAGTAGACATTCTGCTAAGCAGAAAAGAGAGTGTGAAATGCTGAGGGGAGAGCAGCCAGAATTAACCCCACCACACAGACAGTTTCAGCCACTAGGAATGGTCACGCCATGCATTTATCAGCTCGTGCACCCCCTGCGTATAGAGCAAAGCCATTCCTCAGAGGCCCCAAGGCTGGGATCTTTTGGACACTGATCTCCAGGCTTTTCTTGCAAGGCACTTCTGAGTAGGTTTAAATTGCAAATCTTTCCATTAATAGCCAAGGATTAGCCACTTAGACTGCTCTTCCATGACTCAGAATCCACTTCATGGCAACCTTTCATTTGTGGTTTTGGTATTTTACTAGCCAGCACAATCTTAGTACAGTTGTTCTTGGGCTTTTTTTCAAACATTGAAAATACCTTCCTGCCCACTGTCACCAGTGCAAGAGCAGTTGCCACAGGATATAATCCACACACTGATGCAAGCCTTCTGCTTGGTAGGGTACCGGTGGCCTCTGCCCAGCAAGCTCTGTGCAGTCTGGATCTACCTTGATGTGCTCTTCTCCACGGCCTCCATCATGCACCTCTGTGCCATCTCACTGGACCGCTACGTCGCTATCCAAAACCCCATTCATCACAGCCGCTTCAACTCCAGAACAAAAGCCTTCCTGAAAATAATTGCCGTTTGGACCATATCAGTAGGTAAGTGGAAACTGTATTTCAGAGTCTTATATGAAGTAATGGCACCTCATTTTCCGCGGGAACGTGTTCTGTGTGTTCCATTAAAATCTGACATCCAAAATACACCTATTCTTCACTTGCTATCTTATTATCTAATATTTAGCCTTAAAAATAATGGTAAAAAAATTCTACTAGCCAACTATTTTGCATATAAATGAAATATATCTGTTACCGTTGTTATGTACCATTGGGTCAGAACCAATCTATAGGAGATCCTCCAGTGGGTTTTCAGAGGCAGAAAATCATATGGAAAGAGATTGCCCATCAATCTCCATGAAACAGCCAGTGGATTTGAACTGCCTGCTTTTAGGATGGCAGCACAGTTCCTTGCCACTAAGTCACCAGAGTGCAAGTTGATGGGCACAGTGACTGTGATGGTTACGGCTGTGTGTCAACTTGGCTGGGCCAGGATTCTCAACAGTGCAGCAGGTCTGTGATAGTGTCATTCAGCAGTTACATAATGCTGTAGATCAGCAGTCCTGTGATATTATGTGGCAGTTATGTAAAGACGTCGTTGTCATTCTCCGTTTATGATTCTTGTTTATTCTTACATAACAACCTGGTATTTGAAACATAAGCATTCTCATAAGTGAGAAGTGGGCATATATAGTTGTGTTTCTTGTAAAATATGTTAAAGTAGTAATTATCAGATTTGTTTTTGGAAAGAAAACGTCTGTGTCATGTGGTTTACAGCATAAACTTGTACTGGTTCATATGGGTATGAAGACTATGTAACACCAATAGAGACAAAAGTGTGTCTTCCCTCCTAAGACATTTTCGTTCACAATCCTTTTCAAGCTGCAACTCTAGATCCTAGAGTTCATACAGACCTTTTAACACCACTGAGATTTTGATCAGTATCAGAATAGACTAGTTTCCATCAAATCAATTCACACTCATAGCAACACCACATTTTTTAAACTTATTTATTACTAATATTGTTAGAATTAAGTTGATTAGGATAAGAGATGTAGATCACCAAGTTGGTACTGCCATGTGTTCAAACTGAGAACTGTGTCTCGTAGGGTTTTCCATGGCCCATTTGTCAGTCCTCGGGCCCTTCGTGTGAGGATCTGGAACACATCAGTGTAGATTCAAACCTGCAATCCTCCAATGAACAATTGAGCATATTAATCATTTCCATTTACATAGGACGTTGATACTGTTGTTGAGTGCTATCAAGCTGACTGTGACCCATGGCAAAAGAACAAAGCAGTGCCCTGTCCTGTGCCATCCTCACAACTTTGTATCTATTTGAGCTCATAATTTCAGATACTGTGTCAATCTGTCTCAGTGAGTCTGCCTGTTCCCACTGACTCTCTACTTTACAAAACTTTTTTTTATGTCCTTTTCTAGCAGCTGAACATTGTACAAACTAAGCAAGTGTTGCCTCTTTACTTCTAAGGAGCTGTCTGGGTATTTCTTTTTAAAATTGGCACATTCACTCTTCTGGAAGTACTATTGCTGTTATTGTTGGGGGCCTTTGAGTTGGTTGTCCCTGACTGTGAAGATGTGGTGCAGTAAAAGTGCCTAATTTAGTTCTCTCAGCTGTAAGTTTCGTGGCACAGATCACCGGACTTTTCTCCCATTGAACCATGTTGCTGTTGTCACAGAGTTAACTTTAACTCATAGCAGCACTGTGAACCACAGATCTGAACCTTGTCCAACCCTGTACTATCCTCAAGTTCACTGCCGTGCTCATTGTTAAAGTCACTGTGTCAATCCATCTTGTAAAGTCTTCCTCGCTTTCTCTGGCCCTCCACCTTTACTAGTAGTATGTCTTTTCCCAAGAACTTGCCCCTCCTAACAAGATGCCCAAAGTATGTGAGAGTAGGTGAGTTCAAACCATCGTCTTTCCAGTTGCATCCCCAGAACTCCTTCTGATTGTCCTACAGACTCCTTTACTAGGGAACACCAGGCCTCGAGGGCTAGAGATAAGGACCAGGGGCAATCTGAGGCTGGTGCAAGGTGGAGGAGGTATTCAGAGCCATGGCTTCTCAACCTGTCCGGATCCTCTGCAGCCCTTCCTCCTATCTGGACACCTCTCACCAGAGGTTTTCAACCCACTTTTCCCTCTGGCCAATATTGATCTTCTGTCACATACCCAAAAGCCAGGAAAACCCAGATAACAGAAGTGACCTGGACAGTTCCTCAGCAGTTAAGTCTATTGCTCCTGTCACCTCAGAAGGCTTGGTTTGTAATGAAAAATTGCCTGAGATTTTTTTAAAGTTGCAGAACTTTAAAATGGAGAATACTACGTCTGATTAAGGCCATATGGAACCAGTATGTGCTAGCATGAAATACTATAGGACTTGATGGCAGGCTTGAAGTCAGGTACTTGCACGTCCACCTACAGCTCAATAAGAATAAAAATAAATAATAGCAAACATGATACTATAGAATTTTGTCCTCTTCTGTTTGTATTGTTTGCTTTCTTGCTAAACCTGTAATCTACAGTCATTGTTATATAGCATTGAGTCAGAGCCAACTCAATGCTGACCTTCCAGCAGGTTTTCAGAGGCAGTAAGTCACGTGAGAGGACACTGCCCATCTTTCTCCCATAGAGCATCTGGAGGATTTGAACCTCAAGCCTTGTGTTGGCAGCGCAACTCCTTATCCATTAAACCATTCAAGCTCCCTAATCTGCGGAGTATGTGCGGGCCCATCTTATAGATGAGGAAAAGGAGGTTGAAAAATTGAAGCTGCTTGTGCAAGACCTCAGAGCTAGCAGAGGATACAGTGAGGACTTTACTTTTTTATCATGGAAACACTAACAAATTATACTTGTATGATTTTCAGATTTTGAAAAACAATCTGGTCTATTCACTACTTTGTTTTTCGTGTTGCAGCTTAAGAGGGACAGATTTTTAATTTTTTTTTCTTATTTGTTAGCTTAAGGGACCAGAGCACAGAGCCTGTTTTTGCTTGCTGACAGATCTCCAATTATCAGCAGACCTAGAACTCTAAACTCCTGGCACCAAGTCCCTGCATAGCATCCCTCCAAAACCAATTTTTTATTCAAGAAGATGATTGCTCTTTCTGGGTCTGTTCAGTGTTAGACTCATTTTACTAGGAGCAAGAGGATGAAAGGCTAGTGGTTCTCATTCCTACCTGCACATAAGAACTCTCTAGGTAACGGTCTGATCAGGAGTGGGGACAAGTCTTCAAGTACAGCCAGGGGAAAAGTCACTAAGAGAGACTGTCAGAGAGAGAGATGTGTTAGCGAAAGTGAGCTATGAGTAAGGCATATGAAACAAGCAGAGTTATTGTATTGGTACATTAGTTCGTGTCTTACACTATACTGTGAGCTGGTGGCCTAGTGGGTAAGTAGCTGCACTGCTAACTCAAAGGCGTTCAGTTGGAATTCACCAGATTATCCACAGGAAAAAGACGTGCAATCTCTTATTGCTGTATTTAGAGTCTCTGAAAGCCTACTAGAAGTTGGCTCTCACTCCATACACTGGTTTGTTTATTTACACCATACACAGTCCTATCAGTGGGATACCTTTTCCCATCCCCACAATAACTGCAACAATGGCTGCAAGCCCAGCAGAGGTGGTGAGGATGGTGCAGAATCCTGCAGGTTTTCATTCTTGGTACGCAGA